AACTCTCTTGTGCAGCTCATCGCAAGTAAAATTAAAGTCTACATACTCAGTACAAGTATGTGTTTTATTAATAATTTTTTTCTCATATTTTTTTTAAAAAAAAGTATAATTTTATTGATATCCAAAAAAATAGATAATACAAACCAATTCAAACGAATCCAGGTAAACAAGAGCAATCAAATCAACTTAATATATAGATTGAAATGTTGAAATGGTTGTAACTTTAAAAATACAATCATTGTTTTTCTTATTTAAATTTTCATAAATTTTGATAACTTATTTTAATTAATCTAAATTTAGAAGAAAAAAATCATGTCATTAAATATTTCCAAAAAACATAACATTATTTATTTTATTTAACATGATATTTGTTACATAATTCTTAAAACTATTTGTTGTGTTTAAACAACTTCTATAAACTCTCACACAATTCATTACAAAACAATTTTTTAAAACTTTTTTACAGGTACTTGATATATCTAAAATAATATAAATATTTTCTCAAAAAAAATATAAATATATTTAATATATTTTATTATAATTATTTTATTTTAATAATCATATAAAAAAAATAGATGATACACCGAATTTTTTTTTTAGAATAACCATGTTTTAAAAATAATCGTAAATAACCATGTTTCGGAAAAAAATTACGCAAATAACCATGTTTCAGATGACTCCCCAAAGGAGGAGTCATCTCACTTGGCGTCTACACCTACTTTTTAAGGGGAGACGCCATCTCACTTGGCGCCTAGGGTTTGCCCTAAGCCAAGTGAGATGGCGCCTTAGTGCATTTTCTAGGGCAATTTTCGTGTTTTTTTCAATGCGGTGCGTTACGTATTCGATATAGGATCAACAAATTTGACTTTTTATTTACAAAATATGATTACACGCATAAGTATTACGTAAAAAAACAGATTAATCAGTAGTCCTCCGGAACCCGGTAATGACCCCCGATTCCGCATCCTCGTCCTCGCCTTTCCTGTGCTGGGTTTCGTCGTGTATCCTACTGTGGTAGGGTCGATGGCCCAGCGAAGTCAATGTGTTTCGGATCCATGAAATCAGTCAGATCTCCATATCTAGAAGATCTGCTTTGGTACAGTCGGTTACTCGTACCCTTAAAGTTTGGTCGTGTTGGCGGTGGGCGGGGTTCCATGGTTGGTCTGTAGCACTGGTCGTCTGAGTACGAGGCGTAGAAATGAAATGGATCTTGGGGTGTTTGGTATTGAGGATGTTGGGTGGTTTGGTGATATTATGGTTGATGGTAAGTTGGGTCGGTTGGTTCATAATCTTCCGGCATTCCCATATCAGGGCTAAGGTTGGATGTTGAGGGGCCCATATTGAGATATGCAGAAGACTGAGATTGTATGTGGGGTATGCGGGTGTGTTGGTATTGTGATTGAAATTGCGGTTGAGTGTGAGGCATATGGGGGTATTGGTACTGAGGTGGTGATTGTGGTTGGTTGTGGGGCATGTGGGTGTAATTGTATTGTGGTGGTGACTGTGGTTGGGTGTTTGTGGTTCTGTTTCGTCTGGAGGGTTGGTGGGAGGTTGATGTGTGTTGGGTTTGTTGTTGGGGAAATGAGGGTTGTATCCATTGTGTTCGTGGATCAACCAAATACCTTGGATGAGACACGTGTATTTCAGGGGTACTAACCGATATGTACCAAGATACATATTGATTCGTGTGTCGCATATTACCATGATTGAGGAAACTGGGAATTGCAAGACATATCGGTGACGCCTCTGCCACATCTTACACCATTCTGGGGCAAAGTCTTTCCAGTTGGTAAGACCCTATTGAGCGTCGACCCTTTTGAGATGCCACGGGGACAAACAAGTCAGATCGCTGGGTATCTCTTGATGTATTCCAAACTGCATCTTCACACGGTCGTTGTGGTGCATCTCCACAATATTGAACCATATGATTGCAGTCTTGGCACTCCAAATTGCTGCATCCTCGGGATTTGGTTCATGACCCAAACCCAAATATGGTCTCTAGACAAACTGTAGATAAAATTAAATCAGGTTAATGAAAACATAATATATAAATAATTTAAAAGTAGAAAAGTTGAAAGGTACGGCGTACATCATCTGGGCCAAGGTGATCAAATAGATTGCGGTACAGTGTGACATTGAATCTTGGATTCTTTCCGTAATCCATACCCCTCACGCAATACCTAAAGGAAATGAAAAATATTTTATTTTTATCATAAATTTGGTGAAGAGATGAATAGTAATAAATGATATAACTTGATGACTTACTTTGTTGCATACGGGAAAACGAATGTGTTATTGTTGATGGGGTTTAGGGACTCCATCCTCCACCAACCTCAGGCTTGAAGTAAAAAAGCGCAGCCATAAAATGTACATTTTTCCTTGATTGCATTTTTACACAAGGAACTGTATAGGTGAGCTAAAACAGCAGAACTCCAACTATACTTTCTAGTTTTTTTCGAAGTCTCTAAGTAAATTTAAATACATAAAATTTACACTATTTCCCGTACTTTTGGAAAATAAAAAGGTTCCAAATAGTATCATTATATAAATTTTAGCTTTTATTACCTTGGCTAGCTCGGAGGAATTTTCATTTAATTCCAGAGTCGCATAATGATTTTTTAGCTCAGTTAGTAGTATACCCTGACCTCTTGCACCACCACCTTCAACCATATCCCTACCCAACAATTCTTCACACAGAGAATTGGATTGTTGAACCGACCTGTTAATGGCCTTACCGTCGACAGAGAGACCCAATAACATGTACACGTCCTCTAGCGTGATGGTACATTCACCTATTGATAGGTGAAATGTATGGGTCTCTGGTCTCCACCTTTCCAACATTGCAAGTATGAACTTTGAATCAATTGTGCAGTTGGAAATCTTTATAATGTGTCCGAAACCTGCGTATTCCAGATATGGTACGATCAATGGGTCGGGAGCAAGGTAGTTGTGTGACCGAATTCTGAATCTTTTTGTTTAAACAGGAAAGCCAAATTCTTGTACTTTAAAAAACGATTGGAGGCCAAACTTGGACGAGGCCCCGTGACACAAATATTTTATCAGAATCTGGTTTTTTTTGTAACAACCAAATAATATTTTATAAGGTTGAGGTTCAAGATGACGAGGATCTTCAGAATATGTTTTCCAGTCATGAGTATTCTGGATACGATTCTATTGAGTTGTACATTATGCTGCGAGAGCCTCAGCAGTCACAAGTGGTTGATCCTTTGGAGACCGAACAAGCAGAAGTAGATGCAGTTGAAGAAGAAGAAGAAGATGACGAGTTGGAGTTTGACGAAATGGTCAATGATGATTCCGAAGACGATGGGATGCCTGGTATTCCTGCAAATGAGACCTACACACCACCTCCGCACATGAGAAACTTCAACATGGGCGAAGATGAACCGTCTTCTGATTTATTTTTCAATCCATATATGCAGTCGAATGAAAACTTAAAAGAGAAAGACAAATTTCGTAACAGAGAAGAATGTATCAGAGCCATCAAAAAATTCCACATGCTCAACTCGGTCGATTTTAAGGTGGACCGTGTAAATCCAGAAAGGTACAAGATCAAGTGTGTCCACCCTGATTGTATGTTCAAGCTCACTGTATCATACAGATTAAGAGGTGATTGTTGGGTCATAGGTTCCATGTCTACCCACACTTGTGTCAGTTCTACTCAATCACAGGATCATCGAAAACTTAATTATGATCTCATTTGTCAAGAAATCCTACCATTGGTCAGCAACGATCCATCATTGAAGGTGAAAACCATAATCTCCCACATCACTACGGTATTTAACTATACTCCATCTTACCGAAAGGCGTGGTTAGCAAAGACCAAGGCGATTGAAAAGGTATATGGAAACTAGGAGGAGTCATACCAAGAACTTCCTCGCTACCTGAATGCACTCCAGACTTATTCTCTGGGTACTGTTTACATTCTGGAAACAGTGCCAACATACACCCCGGATGGTAGTCAACTCAACGAAAATGGAATATTCAGTCGAGTGTTTTGGGCTTTTCAACCTTGCATCACAAGGTTTACGTCATGCAAATCAATTATACAAATTGATGGGACTTGGTCGTATAAAAAATACAAAGACACCTACAGATTTCAACCCACCTAAAGATTTCGGCTTGCAAACATTCTCCGAAACAATAGGAGTCTTCTTACTCTCCTATTTATCCTTTAAAAAATAAATGATTGATATATTTCATAAAATAGAAATATCTTTAATGTATTTTACTGTAATATATTTTTCAAAAAATTAACTTTAATAGTACTTTGTGTAAAAAAAAAAATCGAATTAATATTTTTTCCAAACTCTAAAATAGACAACATGTTTTTATAAAATAACTTTAATAGCACTTTTGTATCTTCAAATCGATGTTTTACCGAGATAAAAATTCAAATTAATGTTTTTTCCAAGCCCTGAAATTACATGGTTGTAACTTTAAAAATACAATCATTGTTTTTCTTATTTAAATTTTGATAAATTTTGATAACTTATTTTAATTAATCTAAATTTAGAAGAAAAAAAACCATGTCATTAAATATTTCCAAAAAACATAACATTATTTATTTTATTTAATGTAATATTTATTACAAAATTCTTAAAATTATTTATTGTGTTTAAACAACTTCTATAAACTCTCACACAATTCATTACAAAACAATTTTTTAAAACTTTTTTACAGGTACTTGATATATCTAGAATAATATAAATATTTTTTCAAAAAAAATATAAATATATTTATTATAATATCTTTTATTTTAATAATCATATAAAAAAAAATAGATGATACACCGAGGCATAAAAAAATAAATTTATACCGTGGTAATTGATGAAAGCCTTTCTTAGTAAATATGTGAATTGAGTTTTGGCATATAGAAGCTGCTTTGAGTCACTTTCTTTCCGATCCAACATAGATACCTTTAAACTGTGAACTGTTCATAAAAATTGAGTTTCGTTGAAAGAAGAAACTGTAACAAAAAAATGGCGAATTCTAGTAAGAGAGTTTTGCTTACTTCAAACGGCGACGATATTTCGCACGGCATTGCTTTTCATTTAGCCAAACAAGGATGCAGGTCAATTTCATAACTCTAAATCTCTCCTTCCTTTTTCTGTTTACTGTTCAATTCAATTATTTGTTGATTTTTTTTTGTTTTTTTTTATGTTTAGGTTGGTTTTGATGGGAAACGCAACCAGTTTACAGAGTATTGCACGTAAAATAACGGATTCGGTTAGTGGTTCTGGTTCTGTGCATGTGGTTGAATTGGATTTGGAGAGTGAAGATGAATCGGTTTTTCACGATGCTGTTGATAAGGCTTGTAAGATTTTGGGGAAATTGGATGCGTTTGTTAACTGTTACTCTTATGAAGGTAAAATTAAAACAGTTGTTTGATTTCATTTTGCAGAATTCGATGAACCGGATTGATTTTGACAGAATTGAATTTGTTATAATTGATTTTAACAAAATTGAGTTTATCAGAATTGATTTATGTTTGAGTGCATTTATGTAAAAGTGACTTGAAATACAAATTTCAGTGTAAACAATAAAAATTAAGCTATAAATTCTTGTTTCAAGTACAGAATGATTTCTACTTTAAAAGAACTAAACAACTTAAAATCACTTCAGAAATCAATTCTACTCTTCTAACATTGCTAATGACTCTTTGGAAGTCAAATCAAACATGTTATAAAAAGAAATTTTGAGTTTTGTTGGTGGAACTTGAGTTTTGTCTTTTTTAATTAAATTGAAGTTTAAAGGCAAAAGTGATTTTACTTGGAAAACTCAACTTATCAAGTTTGTCATGGACCGGGATCCCCTGCAATCAGGGGAGCCTAAATTCACACTATCAGCTAAATCTAAGCCATTCGAAAAATATCCTATGGTTGTAAATCAAAACAAAGTTTCATGACATAAACATTTCAATTTTTTTAAGGGCTGAGATCATTTCAAGAGTCACTTCTGACTGCAGAGAATCTGTTTCCGTTTGTCATAATATAGCTTGTTTGGATTTGTGTAACCCTTCAAAATCACAATTTCAGAGGTTGATATTGTCTTCAAATTTTGACTGTAAGTGATTAAAAAAATAGTTTTTGAATTAGTTTGATACTAGGTTTTTTATCAAACGTGCTTTTAACATAGATGGTAAGATCCAATTGATCATGAGTATCTGAGTTTGATCGTTGACCGAAACAGTTTTTGATTAGTCTTTACTTACTTTTTGGCCGAACCCTGTATCAGAATTCATTTCTCCTGGGAACCGGAGGGTTAAGACCAAGAAAAGAGCAGCAACATTCGAACCTAAATCAATCACTTCAAATTCAATTTTAATCAAATCAATTTCGTTGAAAACCTTGTATAGCAAATGTTCTAAGTCCGGTCAACATGTTAGGCATTTTCTGAGTCCTCAATAAGATTTTATAGATTTTATGAGGTTAGTATTACTAGTGTATGCACATTCAGGACTATTTAGTTGAATCAAATATCAATAAGTGACTTTAGCATATTTTTCATTATCAAGAGGCTCGTACCAAAATATTAGACCATTTAGGGATTAGCATTTAGGGACTTTATATGTGGACTGTGATTTTTTCTTTATTTTCTTTCATGCTGCTTGAGTGTTGACCTATAAGCTGAATGAATTGTGGATTATTCATTTGAAACAGGAAAGGTGCAAGATCATCTCGAGTTAGCTGAGAGTGAATACAAAAAAATTGTTAGGATAAATTTTACGGCTCCGTGGTTTTTGTTAAAGGCTGTTGGCCAAAGGATGCGGAACTTTAACACTGGAGGGTCTATTGTATTTTTAACATCGATAATGGGTTCTGAAAGAGGGCTTTATCCAGGAGCTGCTGCATATGCCTCAGCCTTGGCTGGAGTTCAACAGTTAGTTCGGGTATGAGAACATCTATAAAAAATCTTTTATTTTAACTTCTTTTTTTTTTTTCGCAAATAAGATTAATATGATATAGGCAAATCATTTATATGAAAATGAAAATCAGCCTGTCAAATTTGACCTGTCCTTTTATTTTTATTTTGCCATAAATCTCTAAATAAGAAGGAAGATTTTCATGACTTGGTGATTCTTGAATATGATGATGTCCTTGTGTAATGAAGTTGTGGTTTGCATTACAAATTTGTTTGACTGTCATCGAAGATCATCTTTTTGTCTGATTTTTCTGAAAATAGCTTTGTTTACTGTTTAGAATATATTTGTAATATTTTTGTCTGTGTGGATATTGTATGCTTTTGCTGCATGCTAGAAAATGAGCAATTAAAATAAGAATTATGTAAAGGATGACGATGGGTAGGTGACTGATAGTATTTAGGTTTAAGGGGGAATTGGTAAAAAGGAATCAAGATTAAATCAAAATGAATTCTGAGGAGAACAGATGTAATAACAAATCTTCAGGTAGCCAATTACCTTCACAAGGGCTAACTCCCTTGCAACCATCTCAGTTACTATACAAAATGAACACCTATCTCTATTATGAACTCTTCTTTCTTTTCATACTCAATACTTCTTCTCTAACTCATAACCAACTACTGTTATTTACTACCAATCAATTAACCACCTAACTAAAATATGAAGAACTCAAGCCTGGATCATACACTCTGATTTGGGTGGTATGTTTGACCTAGAAACAAAGTATGGCAATAGTATGGCGTGTCTCCCCCAAAAAATACTTAGGTGCCCCTTTACAATTCCAAAATAAGGCAGCCCTTAGTTGGTATAGTGGTGAATTGCATCTCCTTGGATCCCACTGTTGGAAGCTTTTGAATTTCTGTTTTGCTTCAAAAAATTTCTTCGTCATGATTCGTTCTGTTGCTATACTTACATCCGTCTTCGCCCATTGCATTCCTGACTCTGTTTCGCATTTCTTGGTTTCTTTTTTCTCGTTCTATATTCAGATCTCTGCATTTTTTTTCGTTGTGTTTGCTCATTTGTGTCATTTCATCATCTTCACTTATGATTTTCGTTTCATTTTGAGATGCTACTATTTCTTGCTTCTCTTCTTGAATTTCGGCGCTGCTGCCTCTGTTTTCTTGTTCTTCATTTTCTGCATCCAGAAGAAAATAGGGAAAATCTCTCTGAACTACATATTAGTGTCGAGGAACTCAAGGGCCTGTGCCTCCCTAATGCCAAAATAACCCTTTTCTTGTCAAATTCCACGATAGTAAACTCTCACATATCTTCCCCGATTTATTCTAAACATAACCCACATAATTAATAAGGCATAAACTACTCTTAATAATATAATAGCAGTTACAAATCTGAATAGTCAGTTTTCCTTAATTCCTTACGAGAATGTTGAAAAGCTAGAGAATGTTGAAAAGCTACTACCAAAGCTATTAACTCCTTATCGACTGATTTGCTGAGTGAGCCTTCTCAAAACTTTGCTGAAAATGCATTAGGCATCTTCCCTCTTGTTCTGTGATAGCACCGCACTTATGCCCTCCCAAGTGCACCACACTCTAGAGAATGGATTTCTGAAGTCTCACATAACTAACATGCACTGGAGTCTGGCATAAATGTCAGCCAAGCAACCCCCAAAATTACATCTACTCCGCCAAGTTCAAACCGAGAAATCTCCTTTGAATTCATGACTTGCCTTCTGAAAAGTGAAAACTCCACTCCTTGCAGCAGTCCTGTGCTTCCTTTTTTAAACCCATTGCCCAACTGTATAGAGGATTTGGGTTGACGACTGCATTCGCAAGGTAGCTGCTATTATATTATTAAGAGTAGTTTATGCCTTATTAATTCACATACAACCAACTTGGCTACTTTACAAAATGAACTCATACCTCTATTATGAAGTTTCCTTTTCTGTTTGCCACTCTCTACCCTAACTCGTCCCTATTGTTATTTACAATTTACAACCAACCAACGAAAACATTTACTGACAACTTCTCCTTTCAATGTTGGCTTGGCTGCACCTTGTTCCTAACATATGAGGAGATCAGGTGCAATTCCTGCTTCACAAGAAAAAAATAAAGAGGAAAAACACTCCCATCCTGCCAAAGGGGAAGTACATTTTAGTACTCTTAAAGCTTTTGATCCCCTTCTTGTCTTCTTTGTCTTATTTATAAATATTCATATTCCTCCATAGTCAAAGTTATCTTTCTTTCACCACATCTATTTTATGTGTCAAATGTGTGTCTTTGAATCTGTTTGTAAATTATGTACATCAGTAATTGAATTAGGAAGCAAGGTTGTGATCAAATTAAATCCTAAAACATGTAATTAGAATTGGAAGAATCGGCTTTAATTAGCAAAGAAATATGCACAAAATATGTGTTGCTTGTTTAATTGAGATATCTATTTAGTCTTCTTCCCTTGGCAAAAGGAAAAAGACACTTTTATTATTTGAGCAGTTGAGACGTTTTAAATCAAACTTGGATTGTTTGCAGCTGATAAATAAAATTGTATGGCTGGTATCCATGTGGTGTGTTATATGGCCTTATATAACTTGTGTCTACTCTGAACAGATACTAGTACTTGAAGTTCCTATACATCTGTTCTAAGTTCTGAAATTTTATCCTGCGAGTTGATTATTCAATATCTCATATACAAGCCACGCCCTGTGAAGTTTCTCCGATATATGTTATTGAAGCTCAATTAACTATAAATTGGTGATTGCACAACAATTCAAGATTTTATATTCATTTCATATTTGGAAATATTAGAAAGTCTGATGATCTTTAATATTATCTTTTATTCAAACATTATTTATTGTCTATATAAACTGGGTCTCTATCAACTTGTTTTGTTCAGGCATCAGCTATGGAGATAGGGAAGTACCAGATCAGAGTTAACGCAATTGCACGAGGGCTTCACCTGGATGATGAATTCCCCTTATCAGTGGGAAGGGAAAGGGCAGAGAAGTTAGTGAAGGAGGCAGCACCACTTGAGAGATGGCTTGATGTTAAGAATGATCTTGCCTCTACAGTCATCTATCTAATCACTGATGGGTCACGTTACATGACAGGAACAACTATATTTGTTGATGGAGCACAGTCTATAACCAGGCCTAGGATGCGCTCCTTTATGTGATTGTTTTCTCACAGCTGCCACTATAAGGAACTTCTTGAGGCATGTTTGTCCATGCATCTGATTTATTTATCCTTGTGCATAGAACATGATAAATTTATGGAAGTTATAATTGTTTAATAATGTATTGCTCAAATAAATGAGCCATAGTGATAGGACCTTGAATGAGTGATTTTTTTTATGGATCAAATTGTGAGGTGGGAAATGAATTGTGTAAGGAAAATTATGTTATAAGGATGTTGAGCACAGAACAGAATCATTCAGTTTGGACATAAAGTATTGGTTCTCCGAAGGTGTTTAGCTCTATGAACATTTTTCTGTATTTTTCTTTGATTTTCAGATATACTAATACATTATTTGTTTTTCATTATTGGTCTTCTCTCTTCCATGTATTACTTCTGCAATTTTGGTTCCCATCATATTGTTGTATAGTTGATCCATATAAGCAGAAATGATAGGCCTAAATACAGTTGAATTTTTTTGATGAAAACGAAAATAAAAATTGGACGAAAAGAAGGTAGTACAGAAATAATATCCTGTTTCTATTGACACTGAAGCTCAAAAGTTTGATCTATATAAAAAAATGCTACTGCAATGAAGTTTATGCAGTGAGTGCATAAAAAACAAAGGATAAGAGATAATGCACAAAGATGTATCTTGATTCACAAAAATATGGCTACAACCCATCCCTACACTTGTAGAAAATTTATCACCATGCAATCACTTATGTAAACCCTCACCTCCAAGCTTACTGTACGAATGTCTGTGTCAACAACTTCTCCACACTACAACCACCAGGGGTGACTGTAACAGCTTACGAGAGGTGCAGCCGCACATAATTCTATATTTTGAGCACCAAATTTGTATAGTATGCATGTGCATGTGTGTGAAGTTAACAAATATTTGTTTCTTAATGTATTATTTGAATTGAATTAAGTCACCTACTATTAATCATAATCAGTAAATTTATTTATTATTTATCATTAAATCAGTAGTTATTTTAGTAGTTCACTATTCAACCTACCATCCCTCACCATACAGTAAAGTACAAGTTAGATTGAAGTCTTGATTGTTGCAAGTATGAGTGAAAATAATACGGTCTTAGGCCAGATCATAAATATGTTGACGCCTCTATCTTGGATGTAACTCATGTGAAATTCTCTTGTGACAACAAAAAGGATGAAATAAATTTAAAGGGTTAATAGGTCTTTTCCCCCTATCATTTGGGCGAATTTTGAAATACACCCCAATAAAAAAAGTTTAGATTCACTCCTCAACATATTAAGATTCTATAATTTCAACTCTTCCCCACCCCAATATGTATTATTTTAATATATTTTTTTAAATGATAAATGAATTATAAGTCAGGTGGTAATTGTTTCACGGTTAATTCTATGTTTACCACACCAAAATAATTGAAACATAAAGTAATCACTTAAATGGTATCTTCATATATAAATACCAGATTAACAAGTTTTTTCACTGAGTAATTTCCAAAAAACCCTAAATGTCATCTTCCTTCATCGAAGTTATTCCCATTTTATTAAATTGTAATTCATAGTGTCGAAAAGATTAAATTTGTTTTAGATTTAAATAGATTTGATTTAAGTCTAGAATAGATTAGATTTGATTTAGTAACAATCTATTTTGGACTTTGGGCTTAGGGTGCAAGCGCAATTATAAATAGAGAGAGTAATCCCTATTTTTTGTAAGCAAGTCATTCACAGTATTTTGTAGTTGCAAAGTGAATAAGAAAGTTTTCACAATTTGTGAGCAGAGAGAAACTCTGCAAAAATTATTTGTCTTGTCTTCTTTCATTTGTTTGTCTCATAATTAAATTGTCATTGTGGTAGAAATTCATCATAGACTTTGGTGAATTTCCAACATCTGGTATCAAAGCTTTGTTTCGATTCGAGGGAAGTGTCAATCAAGAACGATTGAAGAATTCACGATGGGAAATTATGGGAATGCAAATTATCCAGCAACTCTACCAATTCTAAAAGTAGACAACTATGAGAATTGGTGTAAACAGATGAAAGTCTTATTTAGGTGTCAAGGTCTTTGGGACCTTGTAAAAGATGGAGTCAAAGTGCTTGAAGAAAACGCTTCAGAAGAAGAAAAGAAGAAACACATAGAAATTGAGAAGCTGAGTTATAAAGCGCTCTTTATAATTCATCAATGTCCGAGTCCAGAAAACTTTGAAAAAGTGAGTGATTCAGAATCTGCAAAAGAAGCTTGGGACGTTCTTGAGAAGTCTTTTGGAGGTGCAGAAAAGGTAAAAGAAGTGAGGTTACAAACTCACAAGAGAGCCTATGAATTGCTTCAGATGGAAGATAGTGAGAGCATATCTGATTTCTTCATTAGAGTTACAAAACTAGTGAATCAAATCAAAGCATATGGAGAAACATTAACAACAAGAGTTGTTGTTTCGAAAATCTTGAGATCTTTAACTCCTAAGTTCGACCACATAGTGGTGGCTATAGAAGAAGGGAAAGACTTGTCGAAAGTGACAAAGGAAGAACTTCAATGGACGCTTGAATCTCACGAACAAAGAATGATCGAAAGAGCTGCATATAAATCAAAGAGTGATGTGGCCTTGCAGACACATTCAACAAAAGAGACCAAAGGGAAACGAAAGTGTTTCGACAAAGGTAGAGATGGCTACAACAAATCGAATGGTAGAGGAAACCAGATCAAAGAAAACATATCGAATCAAATAAAACCATATCAAGGCAATCAAAGAGGTGGTGTTGCAAATAGAGGAAAAAGTGGTGGTCGAAAACCTGATAAGAGTCACATTCAATGTTATAATTGTCAGAAGTATGGTCACTATTCGAGTGATTGTCCAGAAAAACGAAAGAATCAAGAAAGTGATGCAAAGCTTGCAAAACATGAAGAAGAAGAGATGATGTTGATGGTCACAACAAAAGATGAAGATAGATTCAAGGACCAATGGTACTTGGATTCAGGATATTCATCACATATGTCTGGAAGGAAAGCCTGGTTTGTCAACATAAAGCCCTCAATGAAAAATATGGTAAAATTTACAAGTGACAATACCCTAGCAGCCGAATGTATTGGTGATGTTATGATTATGAGGAAAGATGGTAAAAGGTCAGTAATCTCCAATGTGTTGTACATACCAAGCATGAAGAGCAATTTTCTCAGTATAAGACAGTTGGTCAAAAAGGAATTATAAAGTGTCAATCGAAGATAAGATGATGAGAGTCGTTGATGCAAATGGGAGATTAATCTTGAAGGCTCCTATGTCTCAGAATCGAACCTTCAAGGTTGAACTAAATGTGATGGAGCACAAGTGCCTTTCGACTGCAGCTAGCAGAGATGAATGGATATGACATTATAGACTAGGCCATCTGAACTTCAGAGACATCATAGACTTAAAGAGAAAAAATATGGTTTCAGGATTGCCTGAAATTGACGTTCCAAATGAAGTATGTGAGGAATGTGTGCAGGCGAAGCAACACAAGAATAGCTTCAGCAAGGATGCAGGAAGCGGGTCGAAGGCTAGTCTTGAAGTCATATACTCTGATGTATGTGGACCAATCCAGGTGGATTCGATGAGAGGTAACAAATACTTTGTTACATTCATAGATGATTTCAGTTGAAAGCTGTGGACTTATCTGATCAAGAAGAAAAGTGAAGTGATCGAAGTATTTGCCAAGTTTAAGTCTATGGTCGAAAGACAAAGTGGTTGAAAGCTCAAAGTTTTGAGAATTGATGGTGGTGGAGAATATGTGTCGAGAGACTTCGACATGCTATGTGAAAAGGAAGGGATTATGCATGAGGTGGTGTCACCCTATACCCCACAAAAAAATGGAATTGCAGAAAGGAAGAATCAAACCATCATGAATATGGTGAGAAGTATGTTGAAAGTCAAGAATTTACCTAAAGAGTTTTGGGGTGAAGCTGTTTCGACTGCAATATACATTTTGAACAGATGTCCTACAAAGAAGCTAGAAGGAATTACTCCAGAAGAATGTTGGTCTGGTGTGAAGCCTAGCTTGAGTCATCTAAAGGTATTTGGATCTATAGCACATAGACATGTGCCAAATCAGTTGAGAAGAAAACTTGATGACAAGTCAAGTCAAATAATTCTAGTTAGATATCATTCGACAGGAGGTTACAAGTTATTCGATCCAGAGGATAAGAATATTGTGATCAGCAGGGACGTGATCATAGATGAATTTAAAGAATGGGATTGGACTGAAAATGTCAAGAAAGATTCAGTGGGAATCCTATTCGAAGAACCAGAAACTCAAATCTAAAGAGGAGTTCGACAAGAGGAACCAACAGATATACCAAGTACAAGCAGACCTCAAAGAACAAGACGCGTGCCTGCAAGATTGTAAGATTGTGTGATTACATCAGATGATGTGATATATGATGAAGGTGAGCTGGTACATTATGCTTTCTATGTAGATGTCGAACCTGTTAATGCAGCTGAAGCATTGAAAGATTCGAAGTGGGTGAAAGCAATGAACAAAGAAGTGAAGTCTATCGAAGACAACAACACTTGGTCACTTGTCAAATTGCCTCAAGGCAAGAAGGAAATTGATGTCAAGTGGGTATACAAAGTGAAAGCGAATTCGAAAGGGGAAGTAACTCGACACAAAGCAAGACTTGTGGCGAAAGGATTTCTACAGAAAGAAGGAATAGACTTCGATGAAGTTTTTGCACTTGTTGCTAGGATCAAAACAATCAGATTGGTTGTTGGTCTTGCAGAAATAAACAGTTGGCGCATATGTCAGATGGACGTGAAGTGTGCATTCCTAAATGGACCCTTAGGCGAAGAAGTCTATGTTAAACAACCAGTTGGATTTGTGAAACATGACGAAGAAAGAAAGGTGTACATGCTGCATAAAGCCCTGTATGGATTGAAATAAGCTCCAAGAGCTTGGAATAAGAAAATTGATAGTTTCCTAGGGGAGAAGGAATTTGTGAAGTGCACAACTGAACATGGAGTATATGTAAGAAGAAGCAAG